ATAAATCAGAAGAGGTACAAAAGTGTAGCAAAACCAAATATTGGGGTTCTCAACTCCTACCTCACCATTTTAGACTAACTGCTTTGTAGAGAGAAAAGACTCAAAAATTAATCTAAGTGAAAATTTCAAAAAAAAAAAATTCAAAGTAAATTTTAAAGTAAAATGCAAAATAATTTTCAAAACAAATTTTGAAATAAATTAATAAAGTAAAAACATGCCCAACACATCACATTACATATGGTGTGCCTCCCAAGATAGCGCTTTATTTCACGTCCTCAGCCTGACCAAAATATCATCCTCTAGGATCAAAATTCAAATTTAGTAATACTTGATCAGTCGCTTAATACTTTGTTAATTCATGAGCTCTTCCTAAATCCCCAACCTATAATTTTTATTGCAACTTTTCCCTCTCAATTCGATAACAGTCATCCCAAGGTTATGTAAGAGATCAATTTATATTATCATTCTTAAAGGTTCTTTCAAAATCTAGAATTCTCCCAATTAATTCTCCTTTTTACAGATCAATATTTTTTTTTCAATTATTACAAAAAATGGGTCCATAAAAGGTAAATCAGGGTAAACTAATTCTTTGATTAGGTTCTCCCTAGGTTTTTTAGATTCAGGATTTAACTTTATTGGGTTACACTCCTACTTAGGGCTATCTTTCAACTCTTCCCCTTGGGACATTCTTATGGGTGATATTAAAGGCTCAACTTTCTCCCTCACAATGCAAGGGGTACCTTAAAAAGAAGAGCACATTCTTCTTCAGTCATTGTCCAACCAAATTCATCAACTCAACATGCTCTTCAGGGATCAACTCCTTAGATTCAAAGTTATGGCCTTCTTCTACTCTTGACATCCCTTGGGTTTCATTGCTTAATAAGTTAGCTAACTGATCAACTTGATTTTTTATGTTTTTAAGGGCATCAACTTGACTTTGTAACTCCTCCAGGTTTATCATTAATTCCTCCAAATAGTAATTTTTTTAAAAGTAGTTACTATCGTAGTAATTCCAACTTTCTACCGACTCGACTTGGGTGCTCTCTCATTGCTGATTATCTACACTAGGGTTATTATTATTTCAATTGAAGCTCGGGTTAGTCAACCAACTTTGGGTGTAGATTCAAAGTTATGGCCTTCTCCTACTCTTGACATCCCTTTGGTTTCATTGCTTAATAAGTTAGCTAACTGCTCAACTTGATTTTCTATGTTTTTAAGGGTATCGACTTGACTTTGTAGCTCCTTCTCCAGGTTTATCATTAATTCCTCCAAATAGTAATTATTTTTAAAGTAGTTACTATCGTAGTTATTCCAACTTCCTACCGGCTCGACTTGGGTGTGCTCTCATTGTTGATTATCTACACTAGGGTTATTATTATTTCAATTGAAGCTCGGGTAAGTCAACCAACTTTGGGTGTAGATTCAAAGTTATGGCCTTCTCCTACTCTTGACATCCCTTTGGTTTCATTGCTTAATAAGTTAGCTAACTGCTCAACTTGATTTTCTATGTTTTTAAGGGTATCGACTTGACTTTGTAGCTCCTTCTCCAGGTTTATCATTAATTCCTCCAAATAGTAATTATTTTTAAAGTAGTTACTATCGTAGTTATTCCAACTTCCTACCGGCTCGACTTGGGTGTGCTCTCATTGTTGATTATCTACACTAGGGTTATTATTATTTTAATTGAAGCTCGGGTAAGTCAACCAACTTTGGGTGTAGATGATGGATTCATTCCTCAAATTTACTCCTAATTCTTCTAATGAGAGGTCAACTTCCCTAAATTGGGGCTTTGAGGTGACTTCCCAAGGTTGAGTTTGGAAATTATGATCCCTACCTCAGTTGTCTCAATTTTATACAAGATTGGCTTGTGCTCTCCATGAAAGTATAAAACTCTAGAGGAATAACAAACTTGCAGCAAGTGCCCTTGACCGGACTGATCGTACACACTAGTTACACTCATGGAAGTATCAATTACCAAACTTTTCTCTAAAAAAGACTTGACGATCTTCTCTATTGAGCGTATCTGTGTTTACGTGAATTCCTTTGACTTAACTTGCTAATACTTGTTATTCATGCGAGGTTCTTCAACCAAGTTCGCCCATCTTCTCAAGCTCTTCCATCAGGCTCGCCCACACCTAACGAGGTCTCCAATCATGCTCACATGCATCAATCAAGCTAAGTTATCAAGTTCGTTGAACTGTCTTTCATGACAAGAGAATGGAAAATTCTCTTCCATCATCATCCATACCAATTTATTGATCGCATGACGTCCACACCTTTGATTTTCAATATCGTGTCTTAACAGACTTTGTACAACATAGCTGACAACATCACATTATTTGTTTTTAGCCCTATGAGGGCAAATACATTCATGGATATTTGAAAAGAAGGGAAAGGAAGATGATTTTTTTCTTCTCTTCTTCCCCACCACTATCAATAACAACACACACACACTATGGAATACTCTGCTCACTCCTATCCCGTCTTTCCCTAATTATATAGACTCACGAAAAATGCATGAGCCTAAATCTTAAAGAAGGATCTTTCATAAAAAAGCATTAAAAATATCACTATCTTAACTTCTAAAATTTGAAATACACCATTTGCATGAAAAGATCACACACACATTATATATCTATCTATCTATCTATATTGTTGACCTCACTTTTGGTTGAGGTCTA